GGGAAGGGAAGGGAAGGGAAGGGAAGGGAAGGGAAGGGAAGGGAAGGGAAAGTGATGTCCAAAAAGGAGGAAACAGGCTGAGCAAAGGCCTGGGGTGGGATTAGCTCTCACAGGGCACCCTGTGACCCTGCCTCCCTTCTACTCACAGTGCCATGAGTTCACAGATGAACTCACCTTCAGTGAGGCTCTGGGAGCTGTCTCACTGGGTGGCCGCACCAGCCGCAGTACCTCTGTGTCCTCCCAGCCAGTGGGGCCTGGCAGCCTGCTCTCTTCCTGCTGCCCCCGCAGGGCCAAGCGCCGTGCCATCCGCCTTGCCAACTCCACTGCCTCAGTTAGCCGTGGCAGCATGCAGGAGCTGGACACACTGGCAGGGCTACAGAGGAGCCCTGCCCCTCAGAGGTAAGCAGCCCTTCCACCTGTTGGCCACACCTAGGGAAACCCTGAGCTTGGACTAGAGGGTCTGAGAATTCACGACAGGTAAGTCAAGCTCAAACCTGAACTCTTCCTTGCTGGAAGCTTGGGCTTACGTTGCTTGGAACTCTTTGTTCTTCATTTGTGCTTTTGCCAAGTTTTTATTAAGTACTTACTGTATGCCAGGCACACTTTTAGGCACTTTGGGCACAGCGTTGAACAGAACAGACCGAGATCCCCATCCTGTTGGAATTTATATTCCGGTGGGATTAGACAGTTAATAAACAAACACAGATTATATAGTGTGTCAAATAGTTGTACGTGCCAAAGAGAAGATTAAATTGGGGATGGGAGATGGAAAGTGTAGGGCAAGGAAGGCTTTACTGAGGTGACACCTGAGCCAAGACCTGAAGGAGACAAGCGAGTGAGCCACACAGATAACTAGAAGAAGAGGGCCAGCCTATGGCCTGGTGGTTAAGGCAGCTGGATCCTACATGGCCGAACATGTGGTTCGAGTCCTGGACTTGGCAGCTGGAAAAACACATTGAGTGCATGTGTGTGCATCCCCAAAATCCCCAAAGGAGGGAGAGATGCAGGAGAAGGGACTGTGGCATGACCATTCCCCATGGAGGATGATTCCTTGCTTTCCTTCTCTCTCTGTGTCTGTCTGTCTGTCTGTCTGTCTCTCTCTCTCTCTCTCTCTCTCTCTCGCAAGCACACATGCCCTCTGGCAAATGGAACACAAAACAAAACAAAACTAGAGGAAGAGCTTTCTTTCAGCTCATGCAAAGGTCTGGAGGTAGAGGTGGGTGTGCTGCACATTAGACACACAGCAAGGAAGCTACAGCTGGTGGAGTAGGATTGGAAGAGAGTAGAGGGGGTAGTAGCAGGTCAAGTCAGAGGGGATGAGAACCCAAGTGTGGAAATCCTGCTGTGGACTCCCATGAGGACTTTGGCATGGTTAGGAGTAACTACAAGAAAGAATGTGTGGGCACGTGCACACTCATTATTCCCAGACACTGCTCTGAGTACTTTGTATCATTTATTATCTCATTTAGTCTCTATAACAACCCAGTAAAGTAGGAAATACTGTTATTCCTGTGCTACACATGAGAGGGAAGAGACATTCAGAGCAGTTAAGTGAGACTAGGATTTTAACTCAGGGCTCTGTGACTCCAGGGCCTTCACTCTCTACCACCATTATTGATGGTACAGGGGAAGCACTTGACACAGTGCCAGCGACCCAGTAGGAACTCAGTAAATGCCATAATTGCTGTGGCAAGGATGATGTCATCAGGATGACTTCTGAAGAGCTTTCCATCTTCCCCATCCTTGTCCCCAGCCGCTCAAGCCTCAATGCCACAGCCTTGACCTGAACTGCGACAGCCGGGACTTCGGGTCACCTTTAATCAGTACCCCCCCCCCCCCTGCCAATACCCCAGATGAAAGTCACCCTTCTTCCCCTGGCGGCGGCGGCGGCAGTGGTGGCGGCAGGACCAGCAGTACCCTCAGGAACTCCAGCCTGGGTACCCCCTGCCTCCTTCCTGAGACTGTCAAGATCTCTTCCTTGTGAGGTGTGGGCTTTCCCATTCAGAAGGCCTCCTTTATTCTTGGGGGACTCCTTTCCAAAGCCATATTTTGGGGAAGCAGAGAGGGGCAGGCCTGGGGACCCCTTCTGCCCCCACTGAGAACTATGCAATGGAGTTTCACAGAATGGCCCACCTTGTGGGGAAGGAGCCAGGGAATGGGGAACTCATCCCACCCCAGAAAATCTTCCTGATGGAGACTGGAGCACTAGGTTTCCACAGGCCCCTGGCTTCCTGCCCCAGAACTCTGGGACTGGCCTCTCTCCCCAAGCTGGCCTCCTGCATGCTCCTCCCCATGGGCCCTCCGAGGTAGGTAAAGCTTCCATCTGATATCTGAGCTCTGACCTGAGAAGGAGTGTTCCCTTTTACTGGGCTGAGGAGGTTTGGGAGTTCCAAGCAGAGAAACTTACCTCTAATCTAGTCTCTAGGAGAGGTCCTGCCCTCCACCAGGTCCAACAATTCCCGTATTCTGGAGCTTGGAATGCAACCACTGGCTTCATGGGCTGCGGCCTCAGCAGTGATCTGCCACCTGCAGGCCTTGGCCAAGGGGTCAGGCTGCCTCTCCCAACACACACACATAGCACAAACACCACTGCCCCCTTCCCTGGCTGCTGGAAATGGGTCCCTGCCACCTTGCCCTCCACTGGGCCCACAGCAAACTCTAGCAATAGCAGCTGCTGCCATGACATTATGCAAAGCCTCTGACCAGTTTGCTGCAGCATTTACATCTGCCCTGATCAGAGGGGCCACCTCTAACTACACCTCTCTTCTCTGGTTTGCTTCCTTCCTGGGTTGGGCTAGAGTCTGGACTGGCTGAGATAAGAGCCTGGCAGCTAGCAAAAGCTGAGCTGTGTTTGGAGATCAGAGGCTGATTCCATGTACTTGGGCAGGAGTCCAGAAGCATCAGGGGCTGAGACCTGGGTTGTTGCTGAAGTTGAGGAGTTGTAAGAGGCAGGAGAAACTTCTTGATCTCCTCCTCTATCATAACTCCTTTTCACATACTCCTCTCTCTTTTCCCTCTTGGTTCACCTTCCGGAATTCTGCTCACAAGCTGAAATCTGGCATCATCTCAGGTTCCCTGTCCCCGGTACTGTCCCTGTGCAGCTGGCAGTTGATAAAGATGTAATTTCCATCAGTAAATAAAACCTGAGAGGAGAGATGAGGACTGAGCACCTCCTGGCTCTGTGGGTGTGAGGGCTGGGTTGGGCTGGGGGATTGAAAATGATGATTTCAATGCCTTTTAACTAGTGGAAGGGCCGATATGGGTAAAGGTATGGGAGGCGGTTGGCTGGGGATGTCTTCTGGAAGATGAAGCTCTAGGAGATACGAAAGAAGGTGGCTTGAAAAGTCAAATCTACAGCTGGTGAAGCTGGCTAGGGGGTTCCGAGACATTTCTTCTGACAACTCTTCAGCCCCCTCATTCACAGATGGGGAAACCAAGACCCACAGCAACACAGGATTGGTTAGCAGAGACTTAAACCCAGGCTTCTTGACAGCAAACGACTCTGAATTTAACCCTAATAAAAGTATGTTTGGGGAGGTGGCATGGTGATTATGGTGCTGGACCACCCCCACATGGCCAACCTGGTTTCTGTCTCTCTCTCTCTCTCTCTGTGTGTGTGTGTGTGTGTGTGTGTGTGTGTGTGTGTGTGAGGGGGGGGGGTTAAAATGAAATGAATGAATAAATAAAATTAAATAATTTTTAAAAAAGTATCTGTTTGGTGGGACCAGCAGTTGGCATAATGGTTATGTCACTGGACTCTCATGTAGCTGACTGCAGTTTGAGTTCCAGACCTGGTGGCTGAAACTCACTCCAGGTGCATGCCAAGTGCACATGCCCTATAGCAAAAACCTCTCCAAAAAAAAAAAGTATCTGTTTGGCAAATTCTCCTTCCCTGTGGACGTCCCCACACACTCACTCTTCTGGGCTACTGGCCACATGAGGCTTATGTGTGACTGAGCTCTGAAAAAGACGGAACACTGTGCAGAGCACTGAAAAGACAGACCTTGGATTCAGGTCAACCTGTGTTTCAATCCCTGGACCAGAGAATCATTTACCTTTTCTTGCCTCAGGTTGTTAATCTGTGAACTAGTGATAATTCATTTATTCACCAAATAATTCTTTTTTAAAATATTATTTAATTTTATTATTTTTTTAAAATTTGACCACAGAGAGAAAGAGGAAGAGAGAAAGATAGAGGGAAAGTGAGAAAGCAAACCTCCAGGTCCAGGACTCAAACCCATGGTTGGCCATATGGGAGTCCAGCACCCCAACCATCATGCCACCTGAAGTCCCCAATTCTTTTTATTTTTTTAAGAGAGATTTTTGCTATAGGGCACATGTGCTCACTGGAGATACAGGGACAGAAAGTTAGAAATCACTTCCCTGTGGGGATGGCCATGTCGCAATCCCTTCTTCTCCATTTTCCTCTTGGGATTTTGGGCATGCACACACACATACCTGGTGTGAATTTTAAGTCGCCAGGTCTGGGACTCAAACTACAGTTGACTGGGAGTCCAGCGACATAACCATTATGCCATCTGCTGGTCCCCCAACTATCTCTTTTTTTTTTCTATAATTGAAATTTATTGGTTGTGTTGAGGTTCAGTACAGACATTTCAATTTGTACCCAATTCTTAACACACATACCAAAAATTTAAAAAGCCAAGTATAGTGATTCTTTTTAAGTTATTCCAGTGACATTCCAGCTTCAAATTTGTAGGCAAATTTTCCTTAAGAGGATATTAAGAACCACTGTCTTCAAATGTTGAAAGCTGTTATGTAAGTCCCACCAAATCACAATTTATTCTCATATACACTATGTACTTCAAATTTCCAATCTTTCACAGCACATTAACAAAATTATTAGGAAAACTAGACTACCACGACCAAAGATGTTACAGAGTGCGCACAATTCTGACAGGGAGAGCATCAAAGAGTAGTTTTCTTTAGGAAATAATACTACTAGAAAACATAATAGAAGTAATTAAAAACATTCAAGACACATTAAATGCATGGCTGTGACTCCAAACTGCCACTTAGTATGCTTTGTATTTAGGATATAAAAACTACCCACCCACCCCCACCTATGGAATGTTAAGCTGACATGTAAGAGAGTCAAAGCCTCCTGTAAGTCAATATCCCACTATTTTCTGGTTGTACTGAAAAATAAACAATGAGTAAATGATTTCACCTCTTAATAAAAGCATTAACACTTTAAAAAAAATGGGGGGGAACCAGCAGTTAGCGTAATGGCTATGTCGCTGGACTCCCACGTAGTCGACCGCGGTTCACATCCTGGACCCGGTGGCTTAAAACTCACGCCGGGCGCGTGTGCGTGCGTGCGTGCCCAAGATCCCTAGAGGAGAATGGAGGAGAAGGGATTGTGGCGTGACCATCCCCCCTGGGGGGTGATTTCTCGCTTTCTGTCTCTCTGTCTCTCTCTGTCTGTCTGGCAAGCGCACGCGCCCTACAGTGAAAATCTCTCCAAAAAAAAAAAAATGGGATGAGGTGGGAAGGACTCCTTAAAAATGTTTCTAGGGAACCAGCAGTTAGCGTAATGGCTATGTCGCTGGACTCCCATGTAGTCGACCGTGGTTTGAGTCCCGGACCTGGTGGCTTAAACTCACGCCAGGCGCGTGTGTGTGTGTGCCCAAGATCCCGAGAGGAGAATGGAGGAGAAGGGATTGTGGCGTGACCATCCCCCCTGGGGGGTGATTTCTTGCTTTCTGTCTCTCTGTCTGTCTCTGTCTGTCTGACGAGCGCACACACACCCTATAGCGAAAACTTCTCAAAAAAAAAGTTTCTAGAGCTACTAAAAAACTTGCATTTATCAAATAGTTGATAAAAATATTCATCTGGATTATACAAGAAGGGAGACAGGGACCACTGATAAGACATGGTATATGACATTACTCAGAGTTGACTTCTTTCTCGCCTGCTTCATCAGAGGACTCTCCTCATTTTTAGTTTCTCCATTTTCTGCAGGTAAATATTCTTTAGTGTCTCAGTTGGCCACTTCAGCCTGTTTCCCCTTTGCTCCCCTTTCTCCTTTGGTTTGCACTCTTTTGTCTGAAGATTTATCCTTCTCTGCCACCTGTTTTGGCTTCGTCTCCACTTTTGTAGGAACAGGTTTAGGCGACAACGTTGCTGACCTCCTCTTGGGCTCTTCCTTGGCCGCTCCCTCAGCTGGGCTGACCTTCTTCTTGAGTGTCTTGGCTGCAGATAGGATGCATGCTGGGTACCTGATGAGGCTGTGGTGAGCCTAGAGCCTTTGCGGAGTTGAGAGGATAAGCCCTACTGCTCCTCCCACCACCCGAGCTGCTGAAACTCGTTCCCCCCCTCAAAAAAAATAATTCATTCTTTTTTTCTTTTGAGAGTTTTTTGCTATAGGGTACGTGTGCTCACCAGAGAGACAGAGACAGACAGAAAGTGAGAAATCCCCCCCCAGGGGGGATGGCCACACCACAATCCCTTCTCCATTCTCCTCTCGGGATCTTGGGCATGCACGCACATGCGCCCGGCGTGAGTTTTAAGCCACCGGGTCCGGGACTCGAACCGCGGTCGACTATGTGGGAGTCCAGCGACATAGCCATTACGCTAACTGCTGGTTCCCCCCCCCCCAAATAATTCTTTTTTTTTTTTTTTAAGAGATTTTCATTGTAGGGCGCGTGCGCTCGCCAGACAGAGAGAGAGACATAGAGACAGAAAGCGAGAAATCACCCCCCAGGGGGCATGGCCATGCCGCAATCCCTTCTCCTCCATTCTCCTCTCGGGATCTTGGGCATGCACGCACATGCGCCCGGCGTGAGTTTTAAGCCACCGGGTCCGGGACTCGAACCGCGGTCGACTATGTGGGAGTCCAGCGACATAGCCATTACGCTAACTGCTGGTTCCCCCCCCCCAAATAATTCTTAACTGCACATCATGAGTTAGCCCTAGGGATACAAAGATGGCCAAAGTATACTTTGTGATGTACAGTGTTGAGCATGGAAGGCAGACAAGCAACTACAGTATAGTGATTAGAATTAAGACCAATGGATATAGAAGCATGTAGATAGAAGAACTTAAGTAGGCCCACATATAAAAAATGAGTTGGTAGGGCCAGCAGGTGGTGTCGTGGTTAAGGCACTGGATTCCCACAAGGCCGATATAGTTTGAGTCCTGGATCTGATGGCTTGAAAATCACACCAGGTGCATGTGCATGCATGCCAAAAATCCCGAGAGGAGAATGGAAGAGAAGGGATTGCGGTGTGGCTATCCCCCTCCTCCCCGTGGAGTGATTTCTCACCTCTCTCTCTCTGTCTCTGGCATGCACACATTCCCTGTGGCAAATACTTAAAAAAGAAAGAAAGGAAGGAAGGAAGGAAGAAAGGAAGGAAGGAAGGAAGGAAGGAAGGAAGGAAGAAAAAGAAAGAAAGAGAAAGGAAGAAAAGAATGAGTTGGAGTTAGCCAGGCAAAGTATGAAAAGGGGGGCTGAATGGCAGCACAGTGGTAACAATGCTCTACAGGGCTGGCCCACATGGGAAGGTTCTGAGTTAAAGTCTGGAGACCTCCTTGAGTATGTGGGGCATGTGCCTGCCCATGATCCAGGGTTGGCTTAAGCTGGGATGTGGCACAAAGATCTTGTTGGGAGTTCCCAAGTTCTGTCTCTCAGAAGAAACAAACTTAAAACAACAATAACAAAAGATGAAAGGATGTAAATGCTTTAGGGACTACATGTGCAGTAACCTGGAGGTTAAAGAGTGAGCTCAAAAAAGAGAGAGAGAGAACGTGAGCGCTCAGAGCCTTTGAGAAACTTGGAAGTGGTTCAATCTGGCTGGGGAGGTGTGAAACTGTGAGGAGAGTAAAGACAAAGAGGTAGGCCAGATAACAAAAGGCCTTGGAAACTACAATCTGGTTTTGAAACTTCATCCTAAGGATAATGAGGACATCTGGAGGCTTATAAGCATGAAAGCCATGATGAGGTTTGTGTTTCCAAGGGATCATTCTGACTGTGGAGAGTGGGTCATAGAGAGGAAGTCCTGGAGGGAAGCAAAGCTGTGAGGAGGCTTCTGTGAATGGTCCAGTTGGTGAGTGATGGTGGCTTGGACCAGAGTAGTAGCAGTAGGATTGGTGAGTCAAAAGATTCAGGAGGTAGAATTGGCAGGACTTGGGCGTGATAGGCATGGGGGAGTTGAGGAAGGGGGAGCAGTCAAGATAGACTTCTCGCTTGTGCAGATGGCTGGATAGAGATCACACAGAACATCAAAACAGTTAAGTGTGCAGTGCCAGGCACACGGTAAGTACTTGGACTTGGTGATTATCATGAGTTCAGTTCTAGATGTTTAGTGCTGGACAGATATATCTAGTAGGGAGTGGGATATGTGGGTCTGGAGTGAGAGATTCATAAGAAGGTTCAATGCAATGATATGCCCATGCATTTGGCACAGAGCCCTGGACACAACTGGTCCAGTTAACACGAGTCCCTTCCCATTAAGTCCTGTGAACAGAAACCACCACTAGAGTCTATGACTAGTTTATAATCATGTCTTTTCAACTAGGGTCAATGTGTGAAGGGAAAAGGTTAGGAAGCACTCAAAAAAGCATCCAAGTGTGCCCAGTAGCTCAGTGTTAAGTGCTGTGCAGAAGTAGCTGGATCCCACCTGGCCAACCAGAGGCTGAATCCAGGCCTGAGTGGCTTGAAATACATGTTGGGCTTTACCCAGAATCTTCATGGGATGGAAAACTAGAGAACAAAGGATTGTGGCATGAACAGACCCCATTTGTGGGGAAGGAGGGGTTCCCTCTCTCTCTCACCCACGTTATGGCATTAAAAAAGAAAAAAGAAAAAGAGGGACCATCAGATGGCATAATGGTTATGTCACTGGATGCTCATGTAGTAGACAGCGGTTTGAGTTCCAGACCCAGTCGCTTAAAACTCATGCTGGTTGCGCACGCCTGCCCATGATACCGAGAGGAGATGGGATTGCAGCGTGGCCATCCCCCCAGGGGGGGGTTTCCCACTTTCTCTCTCTCTGGACTCTCCACACATGCCATATAGCAAAAATCTCTCCCTCTAAAAAGAAAAAAGAAATGCTTTATGATTGGTCTTTCAGCCAACCTGTTGCAAGGCTTTGCTCTTAAGACTGGCAGTGAGGAGACCAGCAGGTGGCATGGTGGTTAAGGTGCTGGACACTCCCACATGGCCGACTGTTTTGAGTCCCAGACCTGGTGACTTGCTTTCTCACTTTCTCTCTCTCTCTCTGGTCAAATTAAAATAAATGAGGGACCAGCAGTTGGCATTAATGGTTACATCGCTGGACTCCCATGTAGTCAACTGCGGTTTGAGTTCCAGTTCCAGACCTGATGGCTTAAACTTACGCTGGGCGCGTGTGCGTTCCCAAGATCCTGACAGAACGGAGGAGAAGGGATTGCAGCGTGGCCATCCCCCCTGGGGGGTGATTTCTTGCTTTCTGTCTCTCTCTGTCTTTCTGGCGAGTGCACATGCCCTACAGCAAAAATCTCTTCAAAAAAATTAAATAAATAAATGTAAAAAAAAAAAAGAAGACTGGCAGTGAATCTTCATCTCTTTTAACATTTCTTGGTTCATGAGTTCAACTGAACCACAAAACTATTTTCTGAGGTAGTCTGGGCAGGCATCTTCATCCTGATTTTCACATATGAGTAAATTCAAGCGAGGCACAAAGACTTGCTTAAGGTCACACAGTTGGTAACGGTCTGTCTGTGCCTGGAACTGTGATCTTCCTGACTCTAAAACCTGGATGCTACTACTACACCACCATACAGACTAATTTATTGAACAGTTACTTGTTATGTGCAAGGCACTGCACCAGGTTCTTTACAAGTATTCATCTCTGATTCTCAAATTGGAATTATTATTGCCATTGTACAGAGAAGTAGAAATTGAGGATGGAATACACGTTAAATGACCTACAAAAGATCACTTAGATAATAAAGGCAGAGCGTGGATTAGGTTGTAGCACTCCAGCTACTCAAGAACAGGGATTTTACCAGTCCCATCACCAGACGCTGGCTGGTGACAAAGCAGGTTCATAAACATACACTCGACCTAAGCAAACTGTTTTAGCGTTGTGCTGCGCCTGCGCACTAGACGCAGGGGTGGGGAGGTCAACGCGAGGGCGAGAGTGCGGCAGTGCCAGAGAAGGCGTGTCTGTTTCCCAAACATTCACTGTCCCCACGGTGTATGTCTGCCCCAAGGTTGGCTTGTCTGGCTTGAGTGACGGCGTATCTTAACCAATCACTGCAGAAGTCAGACTGTTGCCAGGGTGAAGCGGCACCCGCCTCTCCAAGGGAAGGGAATTTGCAGGAGGGTGGGACCGGAACTGACGCTTCAGGGGAATGCTAGGCTCTGGGAGTGTTGATGTTTTCCAGTCAGTCCGGCTGACTGCGTTCAAGTTGGAAGCCTGGAGGGGAGGCGTTTTTATTATCGTGTGAGCGGCAGGCCACGCTGTCCTTTCGCTGTACCCACGCCTGCGAGTCAGAGTCTTGGAGAGAGAACGGGAACAGGACAAGGCCCACGAGAAAAGCTAGGAACGAAGGTGCAGACGTTCTACTGAAATCTGAGACGGAGGGCACAGGAGGGCGAGCGCTTGCCTCTGATTGGTCTGCGGGCATCGTCGAGGACCCACGTAACTGCTTCGATTGGTTGTTGTCAGCGATTGTTGTGGCGGCGACGATTTTGCCCACGTACTTCCGAACGGGAGGCGGGGTTGTGCCCGGGCGCGCGTGCGCAGCGCCCCAGGGCCCCACCCGACAGCTCAAGAACCTGCGAGGGGGCGGAGCGAAGAGGTGCTTGTTTTGGTTCTGTTTCCTTTGAAGCTGAAGGCCCAAACGGGAGAGAACGGGAACAGGACAAGGCCCACGAGAAAAGCTAGGAACGAAGGTGCAGACGTTCTACTGAAATCTGAGACGGAGGGCACAGGAGGGCGAGCGCTTGCCTCTGATTGGTCTGCGGGCATCGTCGAGGACCCACGTAACTGCTTCGATTGGTTGTTGTCAGCGATTGTTGTGGCGGCGACGATTTTGCCCACGTACTTCCGAACGGGAGGCGGGGTTGTGCCCGGGCGCGCGTGCGCAGCGCCCCAGGGCCCCACCCGACAGCTCAAGAACCTGCGAGGGGGCGGAGCGAAGAGGTGCTTGTTTTCGTTCTGTTTCCT